CACAGTTTTAATATTTTAGAGTCATATACCCAATGGGCTTGCGAGAGCGGTGGAATTCCTTCATAATTCTTTCCACATCATTATTCAGCTTGCAGTCTTTGCCGTCTTTGCTGAAGGTGGACCTGCTCATGAAATGTGAAAGTCAGCAGAAATGCATGTTGACACTATTTAGTTTTTTACCCTGCAAAGATTTTTTTAACATGACAAAAGAAAAAAAAATCAGCTCAAATCAACCCAACACTTCTTGAAACCTTGAAGGAACTTTCTCAAATCAGATCTAGTTTGTAAAGGAGCTGAAGTGTAATTGGGCTATCTGAATCCGGATTGGGCTCAGACGTGGATTAGTCTCATCCATCACCTTTATTTCCACTTAGCCTTAACCAATTGTTTGCTAATAGTGAAACATGAAACATGATAAGAGGATTTTCACTCCAGGAATAGAGGTAGATCTGAGATGACTAATAGTGAAAAGACCAATCCGCACATAATCTGAGGGTCATCAAAGTTTAAGTATGTGCAGATAGACTCCACAATGACTCTTGATGGGTTATATGTGCATCTGGCCTGTCAGGATAATGCACTACTTTTGGAATGTATTTGCATTGATTTCTTTTCAATAACATTTATATTCGCATTAGCTAAAAGACTGTCTCTCTCACAGGTTCTTGACTACTCCGTGGCCTCCAGGGAAGATGACGGCGTCAAAGCTGTTAACGTCCAGTTTGGACAGATCGTTCATCTGCATCATGCCCTGGCCGTGGCTGAATCGCGCAGACTCCATCATCATGTTCCTGCAGAGGATTTGTTATCAGATGGTCATGGTACTTTAAAATATACTATATTGTGAACTATCACTACAATCATGTAATGCTACTTCATAAAAAAACATGCTGCACATCCAAAAATCGATGACGTTCCCATAAAACATGATGTTTCCATGGTTATATTTCCACAAGTACATGATGTTTCCATGGTTATATTTCCACAAGTTGAGTGAAATATGCGGAATGGTTATATGAAAGGTTGTGTAGTTAGTAAATGTGATGTTATATTTCATTTTAATGATGTCTACCTGTTGTCACTTGATGATGGCTGCATCTTCATGTGGTCCACGACGTGCATTTGCTGCTGGTTTGGGGCAAAGATCTGAAAACGCGCTCCATTACGGCTCAA